CACTCATTTTTTTTTACTGGAGTTCTCCAACTGATTAGCAGGAGCTCTTTGTTCTCTTTTGGTTAGATGTTACATATAAAATCTCCCAATGAGTAGCTGGTCTTTTACTTTCTTTATGGAGCCTTCTGTCAACAGAAGTATTTAATTCTACTGTAAATTTATTAATTTTATTTTTTAAAGTTTGTGCTTTTTATATCTTAAAAACTCCTTGATATCACAAAGATATTTTATTACATTTTCTTACAAAAATTTTAAAGATTTGCTTTATACATATAGTCTTTAATCTATCCAGAAATTAAGTGTACAGGGTGAAATAGGGATCTAATATTATATTTTTCGTATCTCAGCACCATCTAATGAATGGTTAGTTTACTCTTCACCCACTATTTTCTAATGCTACTATCTCTGCCATACATGAAATTTCTACATCTCTTCCTAGACTCTACATTCAGTTTCTCTGAGTCAATTTGTCTGTCCCTATACCAGTACTACACTGCTTTAATTACTCTAGCTTTAGAAGTCTTAATACATTTCCTCTCCAGAGTTGTTTCTCGAAATAGTCATTACTACTAATGACCCTTTGCTTTTGTGTATATAACAACTTAGTCATCTTGCTGTTTTATAAAATCCATTGAGATTTTTACAGTCATTACGAGGTTCTTTTTCCCCCATATTAGAAAAACTAATCAGTATTGTTTTGTTCATAGTTCAGGAAATTAGTTGTATCTATAAAGTCATAATTTAGAAGTCTGTCACCTAGCAAGTTAAGAATCAGAGGTCCATGGCTCAGCTTCAAAGAAACTATGAATATTCTGTATTTTTCTACATGAGAATAAATAACTTTCATCACATTTTTCAGGAATCAGACATGTAGACCAACTGAACAGAATAGACAGCCTAGAAATAATATATGGACAAATGGGTGTCAAAACTACACAATAGGGGAAGGACAGACTCTTCAACAAATGATATTGGGAAAGCTGGATATCCACATGCAAAAAAATGAATTTGGACCTTTATCTTATACTATACACAAAAATCAACTCAAAATGGATTAAAGACTTAAAGGTAGAACTCCTTAAACTATAAAACTCCTAGAAGAAAACAAGAGAAAAGCTTCATAACATTGGTATTGGCAGTAATCTCTTGGCTATAACACCAAAAGCACAGGAAACAAAAGCAAAAGTAGACAAACGAGACTGTATCAAACTTAAAAGCTTCTGCCATCAAAGGAAATAATCTAACAGAGTCAAAACGCAAACTATGGAATGGGAGAAAATATTTGCAAACCATATATCTGATAAGGGCTTAATATTCAAAATGTAAAAGGAACTCCTACAACTTATGGCAAAAAAAACCAAATAACTCAAATAAAAGATGGGAAAAGAACTTGAATAGATCCAAAGAACACATCAAATGGCCAACAGGTACATGTAAAGATGTTCAACATCACTAATCATCACAGAAATACCAATCAAAGTCACAATTAGGTATTATCTCATACCTGGTAGGAAGTGCTTTATTTTTAAAAATAATAAAAAATAACAATTGTTGGTGAGGATGTAAAGAAACTGAAATCCTTGTGCACTACTGGTGGGAACATAAAATGGTGCAGCTACTATGGAAAATAGTATGGAAATTCCTTAAAAAACTAAAACTAGAACTCCATATGAACCAGCAGCAATCCCTCTTCTGGGTATTTAACCAGAAGAATTGAAAACAGGATCGCAAAAAGATACTGCACTCCCATGTTTATTGCAGCATTATTCGCAATAGCCAAGAGATGGAAACAACCTCAATGTCCAATGACAGATGAATGAAGACAATATGATGTATACATACAATGGAATATTATTCGTCCATTAAAACAAAAGGAGGAAATTTTGTCACATACTATAACATGGATGAAACTTAAAAACATTATGCTAGTGGGCCGGNCAGTGAAGCAACATCCTCCACAACTAGACTGAAGAACAAAAGGACAGCAACTTGTCTGTTCCCCTTTCCCCGATTCCCCAGTGCTGTTCCCCTCCCCCAATTCCCCAGTAAAATCTTTAAAAAAAAAAAAAAGTTCCATTATCTTGTTCTGGGTGGTGGTTAAACCACCATTCTTTGTCAAAACTCAAACTACAAATTACACTGTGTGTAAATTATAAATCAACTTTTAAAAAACCTAGGACTAAGAAGTCCTCAAAAGCCTATGTACCACCACATGCCCTCTCTTTACCACAACCCTTTTACTATTAACTCTCCTCTTCCAAAAATCAGCAAAAGAAAGCAAATGAGTGTTGATCAGGACCACTTTCCCTAAATGCCCATCAAGAGCATTATATCAGAAAGAGCTATCTGTGAACAAATCATGAATAAACCCACTACAGGACTTGAATCCTTGTCTAAGTTCTATTCTAAAAATATAGTGAATGTAGACAAAATGGTGCTCTATATACATCAAGTCCAAAATTGGTTTGATGATATAATTATAAGATGGCCTCAAACAAAAGAGGTATATACCAAAACAAAAATTAATTAGCCTCAGGAAACCATGCCCAAACCTAAGATTCCTTAAGGCCCTGTTTTATTGTAGACCCTGCCTTTATCTGTTCTGGCCTTCCACAGCAATATCTGTGAGAAATACAGCAATAAAATCCACAAGGGTTCCCAGACGAATTTAAAATTTAAGTTCTAAAAAACACCATTTAGGTTTTAATTTGTTTTTCCAGAACAAAGCACCAAAATCAGTGAATTTTAAAGGTATCTATTATAATGGTTTTAACAATGACTCTACACCCCATAAAGACTGTTTATAGATTTATGAATTCTTTTCTGATTTTAATGAATAAAACATAATGAAAAATTTCAGGGCCACTTTTCTAAAACGAAGACGATTCCAGACCACAATCTTCCAGCTCTTCCAAGAGCCATTCCCGGAAGTGGTTTCCCTGAGGACCCAACACAATACTGGATACAGGGTACACTTATCTCCCTTGGTGTTCACTCATTAAATAATCGTACATGCTACACAACCTAAGTCCTACCTTTAGATTTTTTTTTAAGATTAGCCCTTCAGCAAATAGATACCTAATACCTTTATTAATCATGAAACACTGATATTTATCTTTCAAATAAATAATATAGGAACTACTTTAAACAGTACATTTAATTCTGTTTTTCTTTACAGATCCCTGATGTCTTACTCTGGACTTCAGAAAAAATGTTAATTTTAATGAGGCTATTAGAAGCCAAAAGTTATACATCATTCCTTCAAATCAGGTCTAAAGTCAAATGTCATCTCTTCAGACAGAACTTCCCTGACCACATAATCTAAATATCCACCCCATAACTCTCTTTTCTCTTCTTCTTAGAAATTAATCACTATCCGAAATCATCATGCTTACAAACTATATCCCTTCTCCCTCCCAATTAGACTCAAGGCTCGAAAAGCAGGATTCGCATCTGTCCTTTTCACTGTTACATTCTCAATGCCTAAACAGTGATTAGCACACAGCCGGTAGCCAGTATGGTTGGTTGACTGAATGACTGGCCACTTGAAGGAATCATCTATAGTATAATATCTTCCTGAAACAATTCTTTGAATACAGTTTTCTCAGAATAAAGAGCACTTAGAAACTGTATCTTCAGTCCATCTGTAATCTCTTGGACTCAGAATTCTACTTACTTGCTTTCTTGGTATTTTAGCTATCCCTTGCCTATAGGTCTGTATCAGCTGCCAGACCTGCACTGCTAAAGAGAAAATTTCCAGTCTTATTCTTCCTATGACAATATAAGGACAAAACAAATCTAAAACTCAGTGGAACCAAAGACAAAAGATTGGTCACTTTTTGGAATCTCCAAATGATATGTTGTAAAAGAGGTCTTAATACTTACGGAATGCTTTGTCTATTCTCCATCCATTTGTTTTCTCTTCCCGTTTAAATTTATTCTGTTAACAAAACAAAGAACCCTATAGTAATTTTCTCCATTAAATTAGGATTATGTCTTTAAAAAGCATTAAAATGGAACTATTGCAGTAACACATGATTCCCAAATAAATAAAATGTCTTTGAAGAACAAAAGGTCAGCAACTTGTCTGTTCTCCTTCCCCAATTCCCCAATGCTGTTCCTTGTCCCCAATTGCCCAATAAAATCTTAAAAAAAAATAAAATAAAATAAAATGTCTTTGACAATAGGGAAGTTACTTTAATCTTTCGCTTTTTAAAAACAGAGATAAAAGATTTTACTAAGCTTCCTGATCCTCATTTGATCAACAGTATGAATTGGTAACGGAAGCTAGATTTACAGAAAATGGAAAAAAATAAAGTCCACTAGCACAGAGACAGATCAAACCTATAATCATTTAAGCTAACCAGTACTAATTAACTCTTTAAAAACTAATATATTCACATCAGGTTAATCCTCTTACAATATTATTCTAATATGTTTGTAATGGCATGGAGGGAAGACTAAAGAAACAACTAAGCAAAATTCTGAAGCAGGCCAAATTTATCTTTGGAAACTTCTTTATATTAAGGCACAATTTCTTCGTGCCCCGTTCCCAGTTCCACTCCAAGTTAACTTCATTACGATGGAGATGGTTATGGTTTAAGGGTCAATCAATCCTAAAGTCATTAGGACATCTGAGGGCATAAGTTTTTGTCTGACAATGTCTAATCATGTACATACATACCAAGAGTGGGAACAATTAACTAATCTCTCCCTTTTACAGATCAGTGGTCTAAAGCTTTTATTGAAAATATATGGGCGAGAGGGAGGGAAAAAATGGCCTCGGTAAGGAAGTCACTGAGTTAGTTCGCGCAAACCACGGCAATTTTGGCAGCGAAAACACAACTCTGCGGGACACGCTGAGCAGCAAAGGGACTCCCACGCAGACTACTTAGAGGTGGGCAGACCCTGCAGGTTCGGGAATTGGGAGGCGAGGCGCGTGGAGACACGGGTGGCACCCGGTCTGCTGAGTCAGGGATCTCAGCAGATTGGAAAGTTCCCTTGCCTGTCCTCCAGCCCGCGCGCGCTAAGGCAGAATCCTCAGGCCGCACGAAGGAGTCGCGTGAAAGGAGGCAGACTGCTCGCGCCCACGGCGGCAGACTCGGGATCTCAGTAGATTGGAGTGCTCACTGCTCTCTCCCTACCCCTCCAGCGTGCGCGCGCTAAGGCAGAATCCTTAGGCGGTGCGCGAAGCAGAACGCGGGCATAGTCTGTCTGCTTGCGCGGCTGCAGAGCTGCGGGAATCCAGGACAAGGCAGACGGTTTTTGCAGCACCTGGACGCGCTCAGCCTCTGGTGCTGACCATCCCGCCTGGTGTTCATCAGGATTCACAGGGCGCAGAGGCTGGGGCAGAAATCCCAACCCGGGAGGAGAAGAGGGAAGCGAGAAGTGTGGAGACACAGCCCACCCGCTTCAGTGGTGGAGAGAAAAGCAGCTTAACCAGGGGGTGCCTGGTTGGAAGGGGCATTTGTTTTGGTTTTTTNCTAGGTGGGTAGTAGACTTATCCAGGGGATCACTCCTTAAGTTATATACATGTCTAATCACTATGCTGTACACCTGAAGTTAATATAAAATAATATTAAATGTCAACTGTGATTCAAAAATAAAAACAAACAGACTGCCATGGAGAGAAAAAAAAAAAACATTTCCATTTGGCATCTGCATATATAAAAAAAAAAAAAGAATGAAATAACATTGCATTTACCAATACTCCTTTTAAAAAGACGTAGGCACCATACACTAGTAAAGGAAACTCTAGATTGGCTCTGTGCAGAAGAGAGTTAACATAGCAGGCTATTCTCTGAAAGGTCTGCTTTAAAAGGTTGGCCCTTGGAGCCAGTCGAGTGACTCCATTGGTTAAGAGTTAGTTTAAGAGCATGAGCTCTGAGCAACAGGTCCGCCAGTTCAATTCCCACATGGGCCAGTGACACTGCGCCCAAGCAGAGCTGCTGCAGAGCTGCTGCTGAGCTTCCAACAGGTGGCAGAATGGCTCAGCTGGTGAGAGTATGTGCTCCTAACAACAAGACTTCCTGTTCAATGATGGGCTACTCCCACCCACAACTAACATGGAACACAGCACCTTGAGCTGAGCAGCCGCGAGCTGCTGGCGGGCGGCCGGATGGTAACTGGACTTGGAGCTGAGCTAGCTGCACCCTCCACAACTAAGATTGAAGGACAACAACTTGGCTGTTCCCCTTCCCCAATTCCCAAATAAATAAATAAATAAATAAATAAATAAATAAATAAATAAATAAATGGTTGGCCCTTTGGCTGTGTCAGGGATCTCAGGTTTGGAGAGCATTCTCATCAGCCTGACAAACATGGCCCACTATACCTAAATTGTACAATGTGGTTTATGCTAACAACTTGCTTTCCTTCTGGGAGTCTTAAATTCTGGTACATGCCAGGCAGAGGGTTTCTATACGACCAACCTCCAATAAAAATCTTGGGCACTGAGCTTCTAACAAGCTTCCCCAGTAGACGTTTTTCTATTTCCTCACAACTGGTGATGGGGGAATTAAGCACATCCTATGTGACTCCACTGGGAGAGAATTCCTAGCTTATACCTGGGTTCCCCTAGACTTATACCTATGTGCCTTTTCCCTTCGCAGATTTTGCTCTGTATCCTTTTACTATAATAAATCTCAGCTGTTAGTACAATTACATGCTGAACCCTATGAGTCCTTCTAGCAAATAATCAAACCTGGAGGTGGTCTTGGGAACCCCCAACACAGGCTCTCACAGTCCTAGGTTTGTGTCCTGCCTCTGCCACTACTAACACTGCAACCGTAGGAAAAAGTGGCTTAGAATATGCAGGGCTATTTCTGGGTGATTAAAACAAACAGAAAGGGGCTGGGAGTGGATTAGCTCACATATAAGGTTCCTTGTAGTTCCAAGATTCTTTACATTATGTAATTATAGCTAAACATTGTCCTCAAAGATCAGAGTTCAAATAATTAAGAAAACATAAGCCTAAAAATAGAAATACATATATATAAACAATTTCCTACCTGGTACAAGTCAACATTAACCCTCAGAAATATGTTATGCTCAAACAATACAATTTAGTTACAATCTTGAAGTATTCAAGTTCCATTTTTTTTAAACACTAGAATTTTGCACCAGATTTGTTTTACAGATGAAAATGGTAATAAGTAACCAAACGTGGCATTCCAAAATTCTGATGCTCTTTTATTACCTACAACTATTCTCTAGAGTAGTCAAGAAAAATGCCAAATAGCTCAGCCATGCCAATTAAAAAATTTAAAAGAAATCTGCTATTTTGGGTCAGATAACAGGAAGACTGAAGAAAAATCAATTCCCTCCGAATGAATGCCTTGATGATCTCAACTACCTGAACTACATCTGAATGCTTGAAGACTTGAGGGACAATACTGCAAGTATATTAAGTAAAATAACACACTTTCCTTTAAAATAGATACCTTTTATATTCTTCTGTGGTTTGGAGGAATTCTTCTCCTTTAAACTCTGATTTTTAATGGATTTTTGTTTTCTTTTCTCTTCTTCAGCAAGAACTTTCTGAAGCAAATGAGCAAAAAAATCGAAGTCAAAAGGGCGCTTTTCCTCTGTTTAAAAAAAAAACAAAGTTGTTTTATTATGAAAAGAACTTTCAAGTTTTTTAAAAGTATAATATCAAAAGGAAATGGGCTTATCATCAGGAGAATAAACAACTCTAGTCACTACNAGCTTCTGTTCCTTATAGCCTTCATCTTCATTTATCTCAGGCCTTAAAGACTGACATTCATCTACAAATGCAAAACGCATGTTAGTCTAAAAAATGATAGCAAAAAAATCTATATTTAAAGCTCAAAGGAATTTACACACAACACAATCTTTTCTTATAAATCATTAATCCATTCAATGTTAAAGTTCCTAAATGTAAGGGATAGATTACATTTTTAGGTCATTAATGAGAAATCAATCAACTCCTAACTGTTTGTGTTTTGAGGGTCAGCCCAAATTTCCTGGGCAGTTTGTAGCATCCTCCTTCATCTTGCTTAAATTTTAAGTGGTTATATTGACTTGTTTTATTTATGTCTAGCTAGGAAACTTAACATGGACTTGGCTATTCTGCTCCTTCAGAAGTGTCGTAATTAGTAGCACAATAATAGCTATTATTTATTGAGTACTAAGTGACAGAAACTCTCAGTCCATCAGATGAATACCTTATTCAATATTCAAAACAATCCTAAAAGGTATTAATATGAACCCCATCACAAAGAAAAAGAATCTGAGTTCAAAGATCTTAAGTGACTTGACCAGGATCATATTTAGCAAAAAAAGAGCTAGAGTCTAAACTTAGGTCTGCTTGATTTCTGAGGTCCAATTTCTTAATCATTGGGCAAATCTGCTTTATATGTAATGTCTTTAATAGTAAGCCACAAAAGCGCATGGTATTGTGATGTCTATAAATCATACTATGCTACCTACCAGGACTCATTTATTAAAATCATATTGGTGAAGCTGAACTACATAAAATTTAAATTCTTTAAAAAGGTTATTCTGGTCTGCTAGTATCTTTTTTCTCCTCTCTATTTGAGTATTTGCTTTAACACGTTAAGCGCGGAGCCGATTTTGCTGGGCTTTCCATTCAGGCGGCAGGCAGGTCATTACCTTTTGTAATATGTGCAAATCTAAACCACATCTTTGCCTAGAATGTTTTAATAAACTTCATTAAAATTACAACATCTATTTTTTAATTAACCTTGATACTGCCAGTCCCACACACCGATGTCGCCCAAAAGAAAAGTCCACTGTCAGTCCCTGGGGACTGACGCCACCTGAACGGAAAGTTCACTGTTAGTCCCCAGGGACTGATGCCGCGCTTAAAGTGTTAAGTAATCTGTACACGAACTCTTAAGGAAAGAGACCAAGATTTGTCTAAACTCTTAGCCCTGCTTCCTTAGCAACTCATAAGTATCAATACATCTGCATTCTAAGGAAATTTAAAAAATGAAAAATGGGGGCCGGCTGAGTGGCTCAGTTGGTTAAGAGCATGAACTCTGAGGAACAGGGTCACCGGTTTGATTCCCACATGGGCCAGTGAACTGCGCCTGAGCTGAGCTGCCACTAAGCTGCCATAAGGGGCTCAGCTGGTGAGAGCATGTGCTCCTAATAAGGTTGCCGGTTCGACTCCCGCATGGGATGGTGGGCTACACCCAGCCCACAACTAAGGTTGAACATGGCACCTTGAGCTGAGCGGTCGCAAGCTGCCGACAGGCGGCTGGATGGCAACTGGACTTGGAGCTGAGCTAGCTGCGCCCTCCACAACTAAGGTTGAAGGACAACAACTTGGCTGTTCCCCTTCCCCAATTCCCGAATAAAATCTTTATAAAAAATGAAAAATGGGAGGAATCCTTATTCCAGTAGCTCTTTACAGAAATTAAACAACTTATTGTGGGTTCACAGAGGTGCTCTGAAGGTAACATGAAAACCTGTCATTTATTAACAAGACAAGCAATATACATTTAACTACAGTAAGTCCTCAATGTCATCAACAGTTTCTCGAAACTGAGGTGAAATGATATATAACAAAACCAACTTTACCATAGGCTAATTGATATAAACAAGAGTTAAGCTCCTACAGCACCTTACCATGTTGTAACAAAATAATATTGAATGAAACGAAGTTATTCGAGGATCTGTATTATATCTATGTGACTTCTAATCATTGTTAATGGGAGTACACAGGAAGTAATACATCTTAGAAACAAACTTCACTTTGATTTTTGTTTGTTTTTTTAACAACAATACATATTTTTTTCTACTAAATTAAAATAAATGGGTTTAACTTAGTAAATTCAGAACCAATTAATAATAAGCATTATTAATTGCTACTATCCAGAAGGAAGGCATTTAAGTGATACACCATATTATTGTACATATATTCTTCAGTAATACAGGAGCTATTAAAATATGTAAGAAACTCACTTTTCGGTTTTTCTCCTTTAGAAGAGCCTGGCTGAACAGTGGCATTTCCTGAAAGGTTTTTTACTCCTTCTTTACCAACTTCACCCTGATTATTCCTTCTCCTTTTCTTTTGATTTAGGTCTGGTTCTAACGCAATCTGATCTGAATCCTGTCCTGATAAAGTCAGAGACTGCTGTTCTTCAACTGTCTGAGCATCCTTCTGAGAGTCTTCTGTGTCTGAAGTTGGAGCGCTCAGAGACTCATCTGGATCATCACTCACTCCTTCTTCACGGGCAACTTTTTTCTCTGACAATTAAGAGGAATGGTTATAAACAAATAAAAAAACAAACAGAAAAATTCTTAAAGACTGAGAAGGTAAATACTCAAAGATGTCCTCCGCAGTATTATTTGCATGAGCAGAATTTTGAAGACAAAATGTCCAAAAGAGAAAAACTAAATAAGTTATAATATTACATTTATGCTTTAAAAATCCATGCAGTAAATAATAATGAGGTAGGCTTATATGTAGTGATATAAAAGATTTCAAAAAATATTGCTGAATAAAAAATAAAAAAATCAAGTTGATTATATATATATATATATATATATATGTATGTATATAGTATTTCATTTTTATTAAACAAAAACAATTACATATACTGTAATACACACACACACACACACACACACACACACACACACACAAGAATTTAGTAATAGTTATCCCCAGGAAATCTGAAAAATTTGATTTGAAGGCAGGGTAGGAGAGGGAGCTCAAAAATTTTATTTCCTGTATCATTTGCTTCTCAATAAATAATCTTTTAACAAAAGGCGGCCAGTTAGTTCAGTTGGTTAGAGCGCAGTGCTCATAACACCAAGGTTGCCGGTTCGATCCCCACATGGGCCCACTGAGCAGCGCCCTCCACAACTAGACTGAAACAACTACTTGACTTGGAGCTGATAGGTCCTGGAAAAACACCGTTACCCAAGGAAAAAAAATCTTTTAACCAGTATTTTAAAACAATTTCTAGTGTCTTTTGTTTAAAGGCATATTAATAGTCAACTGTATCAAAAGATGAAAACAATGTTAATTACATTTAAAATATCCAAAATAGAGATCACCATGGAACAGCATTCAAACCAAAAAAAAAAACTTCACAACCATAGTTGATCAGACATCTCTAAAAATATCTAATCTTAAAATATACTAAAACTCAATGTCATTTTCTTTTAAGAAAAAGTTAAAACAAGATTTTTAAACTGAGAAAACACTTGATTTTATTCTCTATCAGAATAATCAGCAATTTTTAAATTCTGCGACTTATTAATAACTGAAAATATCTCACATTAAATAAGATATAGTGACATACAGCAACTAATTTAATAAAATCACTATTGTGAGGACTTAAAAAAGAGATAGTGAGTTATGTGTAATATCACCTATAAAATGATAATCACAAGATTAATGTATCTACTTTAATCTCCTAGGACGATGTATAGGAAGTAAAACCAATTGACTAAAGAATGAAATAACAGGGCCGGCCGAGTGGCGTGATGGTTAAGAACTCGCTTGGGATGCCAGAGGGCCCCGGTTCGGATCCCACATGAGGGCCAGTGACACTGCCCTCTACAGCTAAGATGAAGAACAAAACGACAGCAACTTGTCTGTTCCCCTTTCCCC